GATAACTACACCCCCCCCATCTATTAGGAAAAGCAAAATCAGACAGGTCTGCATTTTGTCCTGTAAACAAAGCAATGTAGGGACATATTTATGAATAAATCTTTACCTCTGTTGCCAACATTTTTTGTGTGAACTTACTTGAGATGTAAATATTTAATGCTTCTTTTCTCTGCATTACTATTTATTTTTCTGTGTGGGAGTAAAGGCATCCTTCAATACTGTGGACGAGGTAAATAATGTATTACTTAGTCATGAAAAATGCCAGAGGAAAATAAATGAGAGGATATCTTACCTTTGGTCATCACAATGCCTGCAAGAGTTTTGTGGCGTGCATGCATAGAAGTGAAATTATCTGTCAGCTCCCGGAACTTCTGTGCAACCATTTGGTATACAGAGTCGGCAAAATCCTGAAAGACACAGTCAGAAAGAATTTTTTCACTTCTTTGATTGAGGAGCCTGGGCGTTTCTGCAGATTAGTCACCTGCTGTCAACTGCTGAGAGGTTCCTTTTAGAATTAGACACCACCTACCCAAGCAAAGATGAAAGGAGTATCTCTCTGTCAACTACCCACATCACCCTCAGAAAAGGCCAAATTAACTGAAATAAAGCTAGAGACCCGTATTGACTAGGATTAGTGGTAAAGGGAGAAGATTTCAAGGTTGACTTATTTTCAGCCTCCTAGACGTTGGTCCAGGATCAGTTCACAGGAAATTTGTTGGTCCTTTATGGATTTTATTGTAGTGAGCTGAAGAGGCGGACGTGTGTCCCACCAAACCACTTATTTCCATGAGCCCACTGAAAATTTCCATTAGCCCACTGAAGCCCGAGAGCTGAGGTCTGGGTTATAGGTAAGGACCATCTGTTTCTGCATTCAAGGTGAGTTTTTAATGACTCGCAGCTACTGAGGTAAAAAAATCAGCTCACGTTTAATGCTGTCAGAGGAGTACCATGGTCTGTCTTGCTTCCAGCTTGACAGCCATTGGGAGGAAGGGAAGGGGAACCTCTGTTTGCACACCCTACCGAAGGTGTTGCTCGCATGAGTTCATTGGTGTGCAGTAGTGCTGAGGGACTGGTCTGCCAGGTCTCCTCCTGAGCATGTCAGCTTTGTTGAAAGGTCAAATTTTCCCATGGACTGGGCTCTGGAGACTGTGTGGTCTGAACCCTCAGATCTGAGTGAGTCCAGTCACCAGGGAGAGCCTTGGGAAGCTGGTTACTGAAGCTGAGCAGGGTAAAAGGTCTAAAAAGTGAATTCTGCAGACTGCATATGGCTGAATGTGAACTGAAACCAGCTCTGGTGCTCCTGAGAACACCACTACTTGGACCAGTTCCCTGCTGCAGAGTTTAGTATCTTTTCATTTACTTAATCTCTGCACTTTGTTTGGCACAGAGCCTTTCAAGCACACATTAGAGATAAGTCAGAGGAACGCTGTTTGTGAGCATGAGTTGTTCTTAAAGTGCTTTGCAAGTTTGAACATAAAAAAGTAAGATCCAAAGGATTTTTTTTCCTGAGCCATATGATTTCTTGTGGGAAACCAAGCTGTACCTACAAATCCTTCCAGGAGCAGTTCCTGGGGGCTGGACCTTACTCTGGGATGCTGACAGAAAACCTCCTGGCATGCTGTGATCTGGTTAGCACCCAGTGCTCATGTCTTTATTAGCAAAAGTGGCTCGACCAAGCAACAATTCCAGTTTTTCTCTTGCTGTCGGGCTAAGCTACCTGGGGGAAGGTCCCGGTAAAACAGGCCCCCCTGCATTCACCTGGTTTCTTTAAGTGGGCTCATGGAACACATGGAGGAGATGCTGAGTCTGATACTCAGCCTCCCTCACCCTGAAAGATCCACAGCCATGCAGGAGTAAGGAAATGTATTTAAGAAGATCATAGCCATTCTTTTTCTCCCAAAACTGTTAATGGTAATGAAAACATGTTGGCAAAACCACAGTATTTTAAATTGGGAGAACATACAGCTATTTTTCAGAGGAAAGCAGATTCTAATTCACAAATATTATCAGTAATACTACTGCCACTGAGAGCCTCTACAGGCTGTATACCATATGTTTCTACAGTTTGTTGCAAAAGTCAGCTTAATTTTTAAACATTATTATAGCAAATATAAAAAAATCTAATTAAATAAAACATAACAACAATTAGGGAACCCCCTTTTCATAAAACCTGGAATATTTTTTCCATGTACAATGCTTGTAAGTGATTGCAATATGCTCAAATACATGGAGGATAGGCTTTCTCTGAAACAATAATTTTTCTTTGTTTTGCTAAATGCAGTTTTCCAAGGTATTGCTCTGGGAACAAATCATTTGCCCAAAAAGACAGTTTAATATAACATGAAATAAAATATGCTGGCTTGTTGCAAAAGAAGGAAAGAAGCACATAAACCCTTTCTGGAAGATGCATGCAAAATTCTACACTAGAATTAAACGAAAACTAAGAAAAATTATCAAGAACAGTTTGACAGTTTCTAAATGGAATTTCAATTTGACCGCATTTATAACTCTTCTAATCTAATTGTCCACAACCACCATGTGAGCAAGGTTTTGCTCATACAGTGCTTCTGAAGGATGAATTTTGGGTCAATTCTCATTTGTCAAGCATCAAGGCACCCTTGTGATATAAATGCAATTATAGTTGCTTTACAGATGAATGAGTGAAGGCACTAAAAGGGTGAGGGACTGGTCCAGGGGAATAGCATGGAGCTGGGCACAGCCAGGTGTTCTGATTTCCTGATGCTCTGGTTAAGTGCTCAGCGCTGGAACACTGCCTGTCTTTCATAATATGAAAGTTTGTTTCTAAACTTGTTTTCCCTACTGAAGAGTGACTTCATCCATAACGGAAAACTAAGAAGTATTTGCAGGACTGATATAACTGGGCCCCATATGGTGGACTGAAAATCTGATCAGTTTTATTTAGACTAGAAAGAAAGCAAAAAAAAAAAAAAAAAAAAAAAGAGAATCTCAAAAAAACTATCTACACCATCATTTAAAAAAGGAATCAAATCATAAATTTCATCTCCTGCAGTACTGAAGTCCAATCCATGCCTGCATTTCTAGCGTACCCTCCAAATCTGCATCCCAGGGCATTTTGCGCTCATTAAGAGTTAATTAGCTTAGAGGCACATACAATTCCTAAAAGAATCATTTAAAAAATGCTAAATAGAACAAATAACTTCTAACTTTGGATTTAGAAATCCCCACAGTCAGAGCTTTCTTTACTTCATTTGGCAGTAGGTTCCAAAGCCAGAGAGCAAAGAGACTCACTAAAGGCAAAATAACGACATGACTTCAGATAACATTTAGGGACGATAAGGAATTCAGCATTTGCTGATCTCAAGGAGTGACCTGGGACATTAAAGAACAGCAAATCCATTAAATGTGAAGCCTCTTAGCTAAAATAAGTCAGGCGAGTATTTTTGGTCTTGAATCCATTGCCTGAAAGGATGCCATTGAAATTAATAGAAGCAGAGGAGTGGCATACATGAATACGTGTAGGATGCAGGAAAAACAGCCAGAAACATAGGGTCTAAGCTGAGAGGTCATTTACAGGCTGTGATATTGCCCAAACTTTCCAAATGGATATTCCAAAGTACAATGGAAAGCAGGAAAGGGAGCAGTCTATTTTTGCAGATGGTGAAAAATAAGAAGTCAATATATGCACAGCTCAGCCCTGTAATGAATTTGATACCCTGAGGATTTGCGTGTAATGCAGCATAATTGCAGGGCCTGGAATAATCTGTCCCTGAAAGCTGGCTCAGTGGCAGAGCTGGGTATAGGGTTAGTTCCCTCACCTATACCCATAAGTTACAAGAGGTGCAGAGTGTTGCCTTCCTCTCTAACATACACCAGAGCAGCTATTTGGCCTTATTCATTCATGTGCGCTGAAATCACTGACAGCGTTTCTGCCTATATTGAGTCTTTAGACTGGATTTCAATGTTTTTACAGAGACAAAACTGGTTACAGATATATCTAATGCATACCGGACTGATACAGTGGAGATAAGAGTTGGTACATTTATCCCTGCTCTATTTAGAACCATAAATTTCATTCAAGAGATTTTCTTGCTTTACTATTAAACCATAATCCTAGGATACTAAAAGATACATATCCAGATGATCATTCCTGATGGGATATAAACCAGAAAAATTCTACTACTGATGGCCATTGTGAGCCTGGTTGAACTTTTGGGATACAGGCTAGACTGTGTTATCTGCCATCAGAAATAACTTAAAAACCATACACAAAAGAAAGCATTCTTTTGTTATTCTCTATTATCAAAACAATTAATCTCAGAGAAAAGTTGTGTTTGGTGATATCACAGTTCCTATTGCCAGACATGAGTGAAAATAATCTCCATCTGGAGTAAATACAACAGCCAAATACATCTTGGCAGCTTCTGAACGAATATCAGGTTGGTAGTAGAAAAAGGGAAAATTTCAGAAGATGGGGGAAAAAGAAGAGTAGAAACTTTCTTTGTGAAAGAAAAATTCAGTGCAATTAATACAGGTGCATGGAATTGCACTGATCATGTAATGGCAGAGAAATGGCAGCTTGGGGCAGGGGGACAGGGCAGGAGAAAATAAAAAGATACAGACAGTCAGAACTCTGAAAATTTTTACCGAGACACACAGGAGAATAAGTGCTCAAATACCGCTTGAGTGCTGGACCTAGGGCTGGCTTATGTTTGGGTCTTAAATCTCCTTGGAAAACGGGTGTGATGCAAAATGCCACTGAAGCCAGTGGAAGTATGCCTGACTGAAAGATGCTCCAGTTAAGGCTCAACCGGCAAGGATGGGAGTTCGAACATGCCTGTGCCCTGGCCAGGCAGGGTGAGCTCGACCATACCAGCTTTGCCTGCATATTGGAAGGAAAAAACATGACTCTGGGGAAGAACTGACCTTCCAGGTGCTGAGTTTCTTTCAAATCCCCTGCTTTTGTTCACCTGCTATCAAAATCTTAGCTTTCACAGGTCTCACTTAGGTGTTTCTGTAGAAACAATATTTGTCTCACAGGCAATTTCTTTGAGATCAAAACTTTGCTCAGTCTTACTAATACAGTGAGTGGTATGAGTAAGGCAAACAAGACTGTTAGACCCACACCAAGGGTCAAATCTCAGTTCCACTCAAACCATGCACATTGCCTAATGCTTACTGTCACTGGTAGAAGCAACAGTTACTTGTTCAGCTGCCTGGCAGAAGAAAGAAAACAGATAACACTAAACTTTTCGCTGTGAAAAAAGACTGAGATCCTGCAGTACTCAATAAGCTATATTTTAACACATACAAGGAGGCTGGAAGAATGAAAAATAGATGTTATTACTGCTAAAACTGCACTGTGTTGTCTGAAGTATTCATCTGTCCTTGATTACTATATCAAATTACTTGTGTTCTTCACAAAGGA